TGCATGGTACCTATCCCACAAACACCACAGGATTGATTATTTCTCATGACAACAACACCCCCGTCGACTTTCTCAAATGATGCAAACCAGTCTCGCCTAGGGGTCACATGATAAGTAGCATTGGAATCAAGCATTCAATCTGATGCATCCACATGGTTCACCTTTTGAGTAATCAGTAGAGAAAAGCACGAATCATCAGAATCATCACCTTTCGTAATATTCACCCCATTGGCCTTTGGGCCCTTTTTCTTACCATTCTCTTTCTCCTTGAGCTTTGGGCAGTCTTTCTTCCAATGTTCCTGCTCCTTATAGAATGCACATTAGTTCTTTGCTAATTGGTGGCAGCTTCTTGACTTTGACCTCCCTCTATTATCACTTTTCGGACATAGGTTTCTGTAACGCCCCACCCCAGAATCCCGAAGTCGGTGCGCTATTAGATCTGATGGACTGGCCTCACAAACCACCACATGTCTTTTCAGCACGTTTTGTCCTCACTCACGTGCTCCCTGAAAAACTTCCCAGGGGGTCACCCATCCTAGAATTTCTTCAGGTCAAGCACGCTTAACTTTGAAGTTTCTAAGAGTTGGGCTCCCGAAAAGAAGATGCATCTTGGTGGTATGAGTATTCCAATCAAATCTATCAATACTAATCATATCACCCTCTCAAGGGTTGGGGTATTACATGCTCCCCCACTTAAACTCACAACGTCCTCGTTGTGTCAAATCATATCATCCAAGACCGTACCATCCATGTGAAATTCTAGAGGTGGCTCCTACGGCCTCAAGAGGTGGCTCACGCCCTCTCGACGTAGCACTTTACGCCGCATAGCACTTAGCTCTCACAATTTCGGTTGGCTTTGCTCTGATACCATTTAAAACGCCCCACCCCAGAATCTCGAAGTCGGTGCGCTATTAGATCTGATGGACTGGCCTCATAAACCACCACATGTCTTTTCAGCACGTTTTGTCCTCACTCACGTGCTCCCTGAAAAACTTCCCGGGGGTCACCCATCCTAGAATTTCTCCAGGCCAAGCACGCTTAACTTTAAAGTTTTTAAGAGTTGGGTTCCCGAAAAGAAGATGCATCTTGATGGTATGAGTATTCCAATCAAATCTATCAATACTAGTCACATCACCCTCTCAAGGGTTGGGGTATTACAGCTTCTACCTCTCGTCAGCAATGCCTCACCTAAAGTGCTAGCACGGAAAGTCTTATTGTCCTTCCTCCTCAAATCGTAATTGGTCAATGCGTTAGTCACTTCACTATAGCTGATAGAAGATCTCCCGTTTAATAAAGTGAGCATGAATGTATCATACTCCTCATTCGGTAAGGAGCCCAACAAAATAATCGCCTTGTACTCATCCGATATCTTCTCATCAACATTCGCCAAGTCAGACAACAACTTAGTGTAGTTGTTCACATGAGCCACTAACAAGGTGCCTCTGAACATCTAAAATCTGAATAGTCTTCGCAGCAAGTGTAACCTGTTCTCAACACTCTTTGTGAGATACTTGTTGAGAATTTCTCATATCTTCATTGCAGACGTCACTCCAATCACATCATATTCTAGTTCATGTTCCAAACAGGAACTGATCACCCCACACGCGTTCCTATTCATCTTCTTCCATATCGCCTCATCATATTTAGGTGGCCTCTTGTGGACCATGATGGTCTCTTCTAAATTCTGAGTATTGAGCGCATCCTGTACGTCGCTCATCCACAAACCAAAGTTGATTTTACCGTCATACTTCATCATACTAATCTTAGTATTCTAAAAACTAATTTGTATTGTACTCGTCATCGACTTGCTGCTTTCACCTTCTTCTCCCATTACAAACTAACTCCAAATTGTAGAGAAAGAATAAATTTGATAGAAATTAGGAACCACTTAACTAAACCCTAGATCGGATTCCAAATAGATCTCCTATCCACACAAGGAATGCGAAATCTCCAACGGTAACTCCTAATGCTATCTCCACTGAAGCCTAGAACTCTAAAAACCAAGCTTCACACAAGAATCTTCTTCCACCAAACTCCAAAACCCTAGATCTAAAATCTGGTCTCTGATACCACTTATTACATGCAGCGAAAATTTCGGCAGCACCTCGACACAACAAGAGAGTTAGATTGCAATAGGAAATCTTGTTTCACAAAGGAAACAAGAACATTAAGCAAAATATCTTAACTAAGTAAGATATCAGCTCTTTCTCTCATCAGTTCTAGGACTAACCTGTCGAGAGAACCTAAAAGATATTACAAATCACACAAATAGCAAGACAACTAAATTTTACGTGGTTCAGCAAATTGTCTACGTCCACGGGGTAAGGAGGGGGAGATCTATTAATAGAGAGAGATTATAACTATGGTTTACAATCGCACAAATTAAACCCTCACACAAACTCTCAAATCCCTTACACAATCTCTCTCTATAAAAGAATGCAAAACACTCTCAAAAGCATGCATGTTTCTTCACCAAGTACAGTTGCTTTTTCCTGCAGCCGCAAAACAAAGCTCCGCTTGCTTTTCTCCTGCAGCCGAAAAAAATTAACCCACCTCGCACAAAACCCTAAAAGAAAGGAAAAACTATTTATAGGCTGGGAAAACGAATTCGTGGCCAAAACAAAATTGGGCCACTCATTATCGAAGCCGATACCCGAAGTTCTCCGTGGTCTCGTTCACGTGTTTTTGCAAAACGTGCGAACACGTGGGTGGGCCCCTACGTTCACAGGGCCCTCTATCTTCGGAGTATGTAAGAATAACATACCTCTAATCCAACACAGCAACAATGTCGAAGTTTAAGGCATATACGTGCGTGCGAAACCAAATTAAGAACCACTAATTTCCTACAAGTTTATTGCGGAGCGGTTTAATGTACCAATCATGAAAATGTGGAGGAGAAAAGGAAAAGAAACATAAGAAAAATTTCATTTTGTTTCCTTAAATAACCAAACTCTTCCTCAAAAAATTTTTGTTTGGCTACCAAGGTGTTTTTTTTGTTGTGTTTTTCAAGAAAAACACATCGGTGTTTTATTTTTCCTCCCAAGTGTTTTGAAAACAACTATTGAAAATTACCAACAATTTCATAAATTCAGAAAAGAAGAAAAAATTAATTAGATCATGAGTTAAGAATGATTATAGTGGTTTGAGAACGAAGAAGACCGCCACGGCCACGGGCTTATGAAGGGGCGACGGCGACGGGGCTTGAGGGATCTGGAGGCGACGGCGGAAGGCGATGGCGCTCAGATCTAGAGGCAACGGCGCTTAGGGGATATGGAGTCGACGACGGATGGCGTCTGCGTTCAGATCTGGAGGCGACGGCGACGGGGCTTGAGGGATCTGGAGGAGACGGCGGAAGGCGATGGCGCTCAGATCTAGAGGCAACGGCGCTTAGGGGATATGGAGTCGACGACGGATGGGGGATCTGGAGGAGACGACGAAAGGCCACTGCACTCAGATCTGAAGCTTCAACGACGGCGACGATGACAGCCACCGCGACGGCGATGGCGACGGCGATGTCGACGAAATTTCGGCGACACGGGCAAAGTTTGAGCGACGACGACGACACACTTGAGATTGGATCTGAGAGGGGTCGATGTTTTGGGGGGAAATGAAAACAACCAACCTCAAACACCTTTTTCTTGTTTTGAGAAACCCGTTGAAAGTTTGGGATGGTTGGGGTTTTGGACATAAAAACAGAATGGTTCTCAAACACGTTTTGTTTTTTTTATAAAACAAAACGGAAACGTCACAAACGCAGTGGTTACCAAACATAGCATAATTAGCTTCCATTTTCTCCGCTAGACCAAAAAAAATCTCCCATTGAATTCAATAACATCGACTTGAGCTCAAATTGACTCCACAGCAATTTCCCAAGGTGTTATTTATCGATCGGGACCCAAAAACAATGACCCAAAATTGAACCTTTCATCATGCCATCCTTTTGGGGGGGAATAAGAATATTCCTAGACCCTCAACAGAAGATCATACACGGAGTATTTAACTGCTTGTTATATTTTTTAGTCATTTATGATAATTATGTAAGTGTATAGTTTTTGCACTAATTTTGAAATTGACAGTAAATATTCTTTTCTTTTTTTCACATGTGATTTCTATAAAGAGGCCGCTAGGATATTTTTTCCTCTATTCAAAGCCATTAGGAAAATAAATTTCTATATAGGCTCCCTGTAGAGAGTAACATAGGAAAATAAAATTCACATTTATTCCTCTTTTCATTTTAAAATTGGTTATTGTAGCGATATAATATCCTGATTCCACATACATTTAAGCCGTACACACCAATATCTACTATTATACTAATATTTTATATTAATTATATTGACTTAAACTTTATAGTGAAAAATAATTATATTCTTATGTCTTTCTATATGATTTTCTAGAGAAATTGTATACTTTAGGGTTTTCTAACTAAATATCTCTGGAACCAATCATATTTTCTATTTTGTATTACTAATGTAGATATTTGCTAATATACCCTCAATTCTAACTAATTGAGTCCCAAGATACCTCTCAAAATAACACGAAAGTGGTAGAATTGATGATATTTTAAATTAGTGTAGTAGAAATGGAGCAAATTAGCAAATATATAGATGATAAATTTGCAAATACGGTTAATTTGGTGTATACACGCAAAAGGCGTCGAGGTCCTAATCTTGGTTACATCGCTGGGTCCAAAAAAATGCATACCTTTTCCAAAAACGCGGTGTCGGAGTGGACTCTTTATCCGAGTCAGCCGTCTCGGCTGCATCCTGGGAGCATGCAAACGCACATATTCAAACATGTACAAAACTTCCATGTGTCTTACACAGTAAATTATGTACACGCGTCGAATAGGTAAGCTCTTCGTATCATGTTGTGTGTCAGGTGGTTCACATGTGATCTGATCCCCAACGAGTCACCGTCAATCGCCCGCTCACGTTTTTCTTTTCGTTTGAATACAAAATTAAGTAAAATATAAAAAAAATCAAAATAACAGAAAAAAAAATTCAAGTTGCCGTCAAGCTTTTTTTTTTTTGCCGCAAAACCCTGAAAAATCTCTGAAAATCGTGATCCTTCAGTTGAGTCAGTGTTTATTTGATCTTCAACTTCGTTGCCAGAGATCCATCGGAGGAGCTTGAGCTAGTGATTTTTGGCGAATTTTTTTGGGTTTTTTTGGTTGGATTTTTGGCGATTCAAGTGAAATATTGAAGGAAAGGAGATTTTATTGGTATCTACATCGAACTGTGGAGGGAAGTGGAGAATTTCCCCCAATTTCTCCATTGGCGATTCCAAGTGAATATAATGGATTTTTGGCGGTATTTAGGGTTTGTTCTTTTGTGAATCATAACAAAATGGCTGGGGAACTGATCAAAGGGGCGATGAATATGAGAAAGATTGTTCTTTGGTTTATTTTGATGATTTCAGCTTCAGCATCGCTGCTGAGGGCCAGTGGGAGGCAGTTGACTGATGATTCTCACGAGATGACGGTAAGATAAAATCTAAAACATGTTCCTTTCGTGATTATATAGCTTGTATTATTGTTTAAAATGAATGATTTTTTAACTGATTTGGTGAGTTACAGTTATTGTGAATGATAAAGTTTGCTGAATAATGCGTCAATAATATCTCAAATAGATCTGCTACTGCAAGAAATTACTGTAGTCAGATTTAAGTTTTGGATGTTTGGTTAGGGACTTTGTTGTCAGAAAAGGTAAGGGAAGTGACAGTTTGTAGAAGAAGGGGAAAAATGCAAATGCTGCAACCAATTTGGCTGCGACAAACATTGCGGATTCTCAAAAAGTAAATAAAGACATAAAAAACAATGCCTTCTCATTAGAAACCTTTCCAATTCCAAAGCCTGTAGCTTTTGCATTACTTATTTTTAAACCAAAGTAACAAACACCGAATTTGCAGTTGAGTAACATTTTCCGCAACTAAATTATAGATACCCAAAAAATGTATTTGAAGTAGATTTCCTAGAGTAGATGCTACCTGTAATGCTGCGACATTTACTGCACTTTCTTTTTGAAGCATTTACTATGCATTTTCTGTGTTCTAAAAGGTCAAGAATTTAGTTCATTTGGACAAACTAAGTGTTCTCTTTGTATATTTGGATCTTCGGCTGAAAAGTGATGAATCACTAGCCATAAGCAAGTCCAAATGCATGTTAACTTCCAAGTGATATCGATTACAAGCTAAAAGTTCTGAGCCAATTGGTGATATAAAAAGGCCAACTCACTATCTATTAGACCATAAACACATTTTAACTCCTTTTCACTAGGCTCATGGTATTGAACTAATCCCACAACTGGATCGTTGTTGAGACAATCGTCATTGCTGAGAAGAGACTCTTGAAGATGAAAGAGTTGCAACATGGCAAAGATAGGTTACGATATGACTGCATGAGAAGTTAAAGGAATCTATAATGGATAAAGAAGTTAGTGGCAACTTAAATGTTCATAACATGAAGGCTGATTGATTAAGGTTTGGATGTGCAGTGGAAATTAAAAGTCAATCACGAGGAGTGATAGCATCATAGCTGAAAAAGTAACGAGGGCTATGGCTTCTAAAAGTCTGAGAATGAAGGGGTAAACTCCATAAGGTACTTGGTAGATAAATAGATGATGAGATGACATGGATGGTGAAAGATGGCTCATGTAGCCGGCTTCAAATGTTTGAAAAAAATGTTGTTGTTACTGTTAACTATACTAGATTTCTTAAGTCAAGCATCAAATATAACACTTACTCAACTGAAGTTTAGTGACGTATATAGCCGCTGAAATTAAGATTTGAGTAGTTATCTCACAAATTGATTTTTACTATGTTCCTCATATGATCAGTATGATAACCCTACATCACCATGTCACTATCCCATGGTTGCGACAACATCAGGTTGCTTCGGTTTCCCTTTATCTGATGGGTTGTCCTTCAATTTCAGCTCTTGCTTGCATCTGGTTTATTTGTCAGAATACTGAGAGCCCCAAATTTTATCTTCGCATTCTGAAATACGGTGGTAGAAATTCAGTAGTTAGTGGTCTGAAGCTATTCATAATTTCATGGTTTTTTCCAATGTATGTTGCCCTATGTGTCAATAACTTCTCAACTGCTAAATGAATGTTAGTTTCTAGGTTTGTTTATGATCATGAATGTTGTGCTATAAAGCTAAATAGCTCGTTAGGGTACTCTCCAGAGATCAGCATATGGTCATATCTGTGATGGTACAGCTGGCCTTGTGGCAAAGATCCACAATTTGTTCCTTGTATGCAATGGCTAGTTTTTTCTGTTCAGTATGTAGCTTTGCTTTTCACCACATTATCAGAAGTTTTTCCATACTATTCTATGAGAGGTTAGTCTTGACATAATTTGACAGCCAGGTCTTAAAATTTGGTCAATTAATTTTCAAAACTTCAGAGATGCTCCATTAAAGAAAAAAACCATTTTCATGGGGATACCCATATATGATGGTCCCACAGATGATGATGATGATAGTTGTTATATTAACTTTGTTCCATAGCTTTTGCTGCTTGTCATCAAGATTTGGTACTGGGTTCTCTCTTATATTGTATCAGTTAAGAATAACATCTGATGTGTTAAGGTTCTTCCTTGGTTTTCGAGCTAATGTGCTGGAGGATGTGATTAATCTTTATACTATTTGTGGTCATAAGAGCGCCATTTGTAATGTGAGAGTTTTATGCAAAGGTATGTCCATATAGTTGATTATATTTGTCAATTCCTCCATCTCATTCTTAGCAGATAGCATCATGCTACTGTGATCTTCCAGCATTTGTGTCAAGTTAAGACATGAACTTATTTTTTATTCAAAGAATGGCAACTCTGTGGTAGCGTCTTTATGCTATATTTGTTTCTTCAGCATTAGTTATTTCTTCTATAAGAACACTTTGATGAGTGATGACTCATGACATAAATTTAGGGATGATCATGTTGCCAACTGATCGTAGTTTTGCATGTCCTGATGTATAATACTGCTCCCGACAACTTATGATTTTCTATCCATTTGCAATGTAATTAATTCTGCGACTCTTTTGAGTTATAAAATTATGTTAGAAGTTTGTAATGCCTGATCTAATGCTCTTTTGGAATTCATATTTATTTGTCTGATCTCCGATGCCATGTTTTTGCCTTAAATATGGCTTGGGAGCAAGTTATTACTCTTGTTGGTCCATTGTATGAGCCTGCACTCATTTTCTGGGGGGTAAAAACCTTTCGAAGGTTGTTAATGCCATGTTAGTTCATCATTGCACGTCAGATTTGATTCATGTGTATCGTAGCATCTTACACAATTGGTGAAATAACTTTGAATATGCAGATATTTGATCTTATTTCTCATACTGTAAGTTATATCTCATACTTGTGTTTTGATTTGACACTGAGATTTTATGCCAACAGGTGGAAAAAATATTGTTAAACTGTGGCCTGAATCCTACAAACACAAAACCAATTATGGAAGATTTGAAGATTTCTGTTGTAAAGGGCATTGTCATTGATTCTGTGAAGGAGGGCAGATGGGTGAGGTTCAGTCCCCCCTCCCCTGAATTAATGGACACACTCCTTGATTGCCTGAGCAATCATGACTTCCTTCTTCATGTTTCTGGAGACGATAATTTATGGAACAAGTTTTATGAGTACGCTACATTCACTGCTTCAAGAAGACAACTGGAAGATCAAACTGATACAATAATGTCCCCTAACTTGGCCCCTGCCCCAGCACCAGATCTAGCATCAGCTCCTGCACCTGCTCCTGTTCCAGGATTAGCCCCATCGCCAGGCTTTGGTGTTGAAATACCCAGGTTTTTTCCGTCTCCATCTCATAGTCAAGCTCTTGGCCTTTCTCCTGCACCGATTCCCATGAGTGGGTTGGTAATTTCTAATGGTCCAAGTCCTGATAAAGATGCAGTTATGCCACCAAAAAGTCACCATGGAAGCAAGAAAACAGTTGTTATTGTAGCTGTCCTAGTTTCAGCAGGGATAGCTGTTCTTGCTTCATTTCTCATTTTCTGCTGCTGTAGATGCTTCAGGAAGTCTTACAACTCAGAAAATGGTCCTAAGGATGACAGGCCTCTTTTGACTCTGAGCATGAGTGACTTTTCTGGTAAGATGTGCATGTCTCTTTCTATGCATTTTCCTTCTCTTTTTTCTTCCTTTTCTGTGGGGTAAGAGCTGGTTTTAAAGAGAAGTATTAAAAATGGATTGTTTTTTAATTTGAACTCTTTCATATCAAATGAAGTACCAGAAACATGTCTGCTTTCTGCAGAAAGTTTGTTTCTTGGTTCTTCTGATACAAACTCAATGGACCATTATTTGATTTTGCATATAAAGTTCAATAAGTAACTTTTGTGTTAAATTACAAAATTTCAGGTGCATACAGATTTGGGCTTAGTACTCCAACTCAAAAGTATAATGGTGGATCTTCATTTGTCAAAACAAACTCAAGCTTAAATGGACATATTTTAAGTTCAAACGGTTCGGGGGAGTCTCTTGCTTCTGAAAATTTTTCTGGAAATTCTATTTCAACCGAGTCATCCAATGCATCTAGCAATGCTGTTGGACTTATCCCACCTTCTGTGCCACATTTAAAGCCGCCTCCTGGAAGGAACATGGCTTCTCTTGCAGTGCCTCTTCCTCCTGCTCCCCCTTCGCCTCTTCCCAAATCTAACCCTGGTCCTCCACCTCCTGCTCCTCCACCTCCCATTCCTAAACAAAAGCCTGGACCTCCACCTCCACCACCATCAAAAGCTTCTGTACCTCCTCGTCCTCCTCCTCATGGAGGCTCCAGTTCTTCGAAGGTTCCTTGGTCGTCGCCTCTCGGGCCGAATGCTGATGCAGATGCTGATACTCCCAAAACTAAACTGAAGCCATTGTTTTGGGATAAAGTTTCAACAAATCCTGACAAATCTATGGTTTGGAATGAGATTAAATCGGGTTCTTTCCAGTAAGCTTATTTCTGTACTTATTTTCTTTAATTATTTGTAGTTTTTATTTTTGGTTTATAATTTGCAGGTTTAATGAAGAGATGATAGAGACCTTGTTTGGCTATCGTTCTGAGGAAAAAAGGAAAGCTGAGGGCAGAAAGGGCTCAGTTTTGAATGATCCTTCTCAATATATTCAGCTTCTTGAACCCAGGAAATCTCAGAATTTGGCTATTTCGTTGAAGGCAATGAGCGTAAAAGTTGATGAAGTCTCTGATGCGCTAATGGAAGGTAATTATTCATCTTCTTTTATAATTACAGAAAACGAGAGCAAAACTGTCAAATTGGGATACATGTTACGCATCACAAGATAAATTAGCTCATGTATGGTTGAGTAAATAAGTTTGCGACTATGTATAAAAATCCAAAAAAAAAAAGAACATGGAGAATGGATAACCAAAGATAAATGTTTAAAGCTGTAAAGGAAAACTGCTAACACAAATTCAATTCCAGTGACCATAAGACCACTGATCAAAATGACACCAAAATAATTCAACCATACCAGACATACACATATGTCTGCACATTATAGCTTTGTGACTGACTACCAAATACAAACCTTTGAAAGAACAACAAACCAAGTCAATTAATATCTAGTGATCATCACAAATGGATTGATCACCATTACGATCTTCAAGAATGATATCTTCATAGTTTTCTTCTTCACTTCCCACAAACTTCTTTATACTGTCATCTTTCTTTTTCATTTTAGCAATGCTGTTCAAGTTGCGGGGTGTTGCTCTTAAGTAGTAGAAAAAAGATTTAGTAGATACCTGAAATTTGGGACCTAACAATTAAATAATAAATATGTAGCACAAACTAATAGGTATACCTCTTCTTGCATTTTATTGGTGGCACTAATTAGTCATCATGTCAGTTCAAAGCATTTAGATATGCATCCGAGAGTTTTCTTCAATTAGCAAGGGTCTTTCTCCATAGTTCACCTGTTATTTGTTCCATTTACGATAGAAATGGATCACATGCCTCTTCGTTTATTTGCATCATTCCAATTGTTTTTTTATGATTGATCAAGATCATGGTAGGCCTGTCCATTGTTGGAGAGGAGGTCTAGGTTCTGAATTTTTTTCCTTTATGTCTGCGGCATTAGGATGCTCTCCATCTGTGCAACTTTTTATTGCTTCCTGCCCAAAGAAAATTAAAATGAAGCATGATCATAGGTTTGTATACCTCTAGTTACAAAAGGAATCGTGCACATTTATCTTCTCTTTTATTAGAATAGTAAATTCATTCTAAAAGTTGCAATTTGTATCTAAGATAGAAGGTATCTTAAATATGGTTAAAAATCCATTAAGATTGAGTCAACTTGTTGTATTCTATCACGTTTTGGGAGATCCATATTACATAAGATACGATAACATGTTGTAGGCAGTGATGGATCTGGAAAAAGTTTCATTAAGTATCTATTTACCTCAATGAAAATGGGCTACTAATCTCAAATGACATGAATGAAAATGGGCTACTAATTTGTAAATGCTAAATGCAAATTGTTTAAATATTCAAGGTGGAGACCGAAACTTTTAAAACTATGGGGTGCACATTGTAATTGTACAGGGATTTAAATTGTAATTTCTAGATTGTTAGGGGTGCAACTGCACCCCTAGCCAACCATATGCGTCCACCCCTGGTGGTAGGATACTGGACACATTGATCCAATAGCTACATAGACAAGAATTTTCCAATGTAAGAAATGTATCATATATGTTACATATTCACAACACAAGGAGGTAAGATGCACTGTTATGCATCTCAACAGAAAGCTACTTTTCAAGAGATCCAAGCTAGCAAAAGAAAAAAAACCAATGCTTGCTGATACATCAACCTCCATGCCCTCCATATACCATATGCTTTTGTTTTTTCTTATACAAGTGTCTTGTTTGTACATTTAAATCAGTAGCGTCATGTTTTACTCATCTTTCTTTAAACAGGAAATGAGCTTCCGGCAGAGCTACTCCAAACATTATTGAGAATGGCACCGACCACCGATGAAGAGCTGAAGCTTAGATCATATTCCGGTGACCCATCCCTACTGGGCCCTGGTGAACAATTTATAAAAGCAATGATGGATATTCCTTTTGCTTTTAAACGGATGGATGCATTACTATTCATAACTTCACTACCAGACGAGGTCACAAGTATCAAGGAATCATTTGCGTCTTTAGAGGCAAGTCTTCGGATTTCAGTTTTCCCATTTGCTTTGTTGTATTTCATCTTTATATAGTAGGCAACTAAGAATAACAAGAAATTTTGAAGAGGATTTTTATATAATGGTAACAAGTGGAATTCACAATTAAACTGGACAAGCCAGATCATTTGATATAGAAAGTTGCTTGAGTTGCCAGCTGATTGTTCCAAGCTTTTTATCACCTTCACTTATTTGTTTGACACTTTGACCTATGTTGGGAAACTTTCTGCCTCTTTATGACTCTGTTTCATGCTACAAGAGGCCAAACCATCTTACCTGTATCCATACACCTTGTTTTAAAGGTTCTGAGGCATGACTCATCCAAAGCCATTTTCTCATTTTCATCTACAATCTAACTGCTTGGATATATGTAGTTTAGGGCTTTTTAATCCCATCATCCTATATTTTTATTTTAATCAGGTTTGAGGATTGCTTAGATTTATGAAAAATGCGCATTTAAAGGTGCCAACTGTTTATTGCCAGTAGTATTCTTCATCTCATTTGTTCAACTTAATTTGATACTTTATGGCTGAAACTAGTTTCTACTGACAACATGAAAGCTTTCCATATTTATATGGAAGATGGAGCAAAAGAATGTTTACCTCTTGACTTATGGTTCATGTGTTAAGTTTTATGACCATTGTTTTGAAACTTCAAACACTCATGAGTTTGCAAAACTTGTTCATCTGGAATTGTTCTCAATCATGCTGGCCCACCAAACATTGGCTTAAAAGCCTTTGCAATTTTGAAAACTTTTGTTTATGCTGAAATTATTTGTCTGAATCGAGTCAAGCTTCATGCATGGATCCTAAAACTGACCTTGAAGCAGGTGAGCTGGGTAAGAGCTCTTGGATGCTGCTAACTGCTGAAGCTTACATGTGTATCGTTGTTCCTGCTAACATTTCAATGATAATCTTCCAACTTTTCTGATAGTGATATTGATAACAGGATATTAAATTCTAAGCATTATCATTTACTTAGTACTATTTAATTTTCATTGTAAACTTGCCAGAACTTGGAGGGCAAAGAGGTTCATATTTAGCACACTAATATACAATTATTTTGGAAAGAAAAAGTCACAGTTAATAGGTGTGAAGTTATGAAAAGAAGGGAACACATGCAGAAGTTAAGAGATGGGTAAAAAACAAAGCAAACTGAGAAAATGTAGGGCGAAGGCATATAATTTCATGTATTAAATTAATTTCTTCAAGATTTCTGAAAGAAAAATCCATGAAATAAGGTGAAATTTTAATTTTGTCAGTTTCAGTCAAGTATCCGCAAGAGCTGGAAAGCAGCCAGTTCTAGATAGAAAACTTATAATTTTTTTATCTATTTAATATTACAACTAATTAACAAAAGGAAAACACAAGATACTAAACTTGCAAAAAATGGATACTCTAACCCATAATTAGAGTTTATTTTTCCCTACTATTGGGCAGAAACAAAAGCATAAAAATGTCCACTATATTCATTCAGGTAGCATGCAAGGAGCTTAGAAGCAGCCGGCTATTCCTGAAACTACTAGAAGCTGTTCTCAAACTTGGTAATCGAATGAATGATGGCACTTTCCGTGGTGGTGCTCAGGCATTTAAGCTCGATACTCTCTTGAAGCTGTCCGATGTCAAGGGTATTGATGGGAAGACTACACTCTTACACTTTGTTGTTCAAGAGATGATTCGATCTGAAGGTGCAAGAGCTGTTCGACTGGCCAAAGAGACCCAAAGCAACTTAGATGTAAACTCTAATGACCAAAGCCTTGGATTAAAGATAGTTTCTCACCTGAGTACCGAGCTGGAGAATGTCAAGAAGGCGGCTGGACTAGATGCTGATGCCTTGACCAACACAGTGGCCAGTCTAGGTCATCAATTGGTAAAGGCAAAGAAGTTTCTTGATACTGATATGAAAAGCACAGAGGAGAACAGTGGGTTCCTCCGGCTGCTGAAATCTTTCGTTGAACATGCTGAGGTTGATGTTACCATCTTATTGGAAGAAGAAAAGAGAATCAGGTCGTTGGTGAAGAGCACAACGGACTATTTTCATGGGAATTCAGGGAGGGATGAGGGCTTAAGGTTGTTCATGATTGTGAGGGATTTTCTTGGTATGATTGATAAAGCATGCAAAGAAGTGAGAGAGTCTCAGAAGAAAATGGCAATGACACCGAGGACTAGGGATACTCTGACACCGGCAGCGGTTGCTGACCCCAGACACCATCTTTTCCCAGCAATTAGAGATCGAAGGGTGGACAGCTCGAGCACAAGTTCTGATGATGATGAATCTTAAGGGTTCCATTAGAATAGGTAAGTATATATTTTTCTTGTTCAAACAATAAAAGGACAGAACTTTTTTAACTGTTTCTCGTTTCTCGTGTTGAAAACTACAACAAACTGGTTGAACTTGTGTTAGTATATCATGATATTTTGTTGCAATTTCACGTATATCATGTTAATTTCCACGTCCCCTTTACGATAGGGTGTCTATGAGGATTAGCTGTAGTCTAATTTATTCAGTATTCATCAAACTTCATGGTCAACAGCATCAAACGAGTTGTTTATTTGAACATCAAATCCCTATTTCTGTAGAAACTAGATAGTAGATTATGTCCATTCGACAACTGGTCATCAAGGGATGCCTAGCCATATTGTCATATGAGTATCATTGGAGCTCTAGTTGCTTGTGTAGAGGACTGCTAGATAGTTTTCCCTACTTCAGATGAGTTGCCTTTCAATGTAGAAAGTTGGACATTTGATGGCTCTTCGCTATCGCATCACAAATGATGGTATCACTCAACTTGCTTGGTGCCTTGTATATGAAACGGCTAAAAACTTTGCACGAAGAGGAAACTTTCCCAAAATTTGGAAGGCATAGCGAGATTCTTAGAAGTGACCTCTTTTGACTGCATAGACTTGTTATCGTTTATACAGAACATTATTACATGTTGCACTTTATGTTTAGAGAGAGAGTATGACTGCTTATCTTGAAATTTTATACTCTGGTGAAATACTTAACGGCTTCTATCGTGCACTGATACACTATATCTACTCTTTAACTTTTTTTACTCTTTAAATGAACTCCTGTTATGCATCTTTTCTTTATTAGGAAATAATGAAGTATGAGATGGCAACTCATTTTGATATAATAAATGAACTACGAAAAGACGGACATGTGATAAAGCCTATTTCCGGTGGTCACATCAGACTACCATAGTATATGGATCCCACCACTTCTACCTCGTGGTAGCTCATTTAAGCTAAATGAGGTGCACAGAGGCACAACTACGTTGATGGTAAAAGACAAATAAGAAAAAAAAAAAAAAAAGAAAGAAAGAAAGATGTTATTCTTACTTGTGGAATTTGCCCATATTAGTCCCTTAAATCTTTATTGTATTGAAATTACTCGCCCAATCATTGAAATTACTACCATGTCCCAAAATTTTGTAAGTTATTTTAAAATTTGTCCCTCATATCGTTGAAATTGCTATTAGGTATCCTTATTCTCATGGGTTGTTTCAAATTAATCATGATAATTCAGGGATCTACTTGCAAATTGCAATTTCAGTGATTTGAGGGACTAATTCTGGAATAACTTAAAGATTGAGGACTTAACAGAGATTTTGAGGATTTGAGGGGCCAATTACAAATTTAAAGATTTAAAGCTAAAATTTCTGGCTCTGCCACTGACGGGGCATATCCATCGTAACCTTTTCATTATTATAGAGTATCTTTATTTCAGACTAGTAATAACAGGTATACTTCTCCCTGTGATCAATTTTTCTTACAATAGCTTACTTAATTTCATGTTACTATTTCTGTATAGGCTTCTGCCCCTGGGAGAACGATGTTCTGTTGAACCGTATCATTGATGGTTGTTGATGCCATTTTCGATGATTGCTTCCCTCGCAAAGCTAACAGCTCAGAAAGAACTCACAACTTGTACTCAAATGACTTGCTACTGAGCAGAGAGAGGGAAAACAATTTCTTTTAGGAACAAAGAAAGATATCTGTAATCACTACTTACTGGTCATTTTTTGTAGGCTGGTAATAGATTAACATCAATTCATAGAAATGTCTATAAGATACTGATATTTGTTCTTGATGGAATAATTTCCTCTATTTTTAGATGTGGAATTTTGAAGGGTTCATCTATTTAGTCTGCATCTATGCTATCTACTTGCTGATAAAGGGGATTCAAATTATTTTTACCTAACGAACAGATATAGAACTAACTGTTCATATAAAAAACCAAAGGCATATGTGGTTATATACACTGCAAAACGTTTCAGTAATCACGAACAGAATTATAATTTGAAAAAAAAAAACATTTTGATTTTAGGATGCTATGGAGAAAGGGGAAATGCTGAACGGATTATGTTAGTTGATAA